GGTGTGAGCCACTGTACCCGGCCAAGCCATTGTTTTTATATTGGAGAGACAGTAAGCATGAGAAAGACTATAAATAATGGTTTTACATATATAATTTCAAAAGTCTCAAGTGTTATCAAGAAAATAAAGCCAGGTAAAGGTATAGAGAATAATGGAAAGGAGGTATTATTTTATTTGGTTGGGATGGTCATGGAAGGCCTCTTGGAGGAGGTGATTTATAAGCTGAGACCTGAAGGATGAGAAGATGTCTGCAAAGATCTGGGAGATGATTATTCCAGGCAAAGAGAACTTGACTAAGTACACTGACCCTAAGAAGGGAATCAGCTTGGCATGTTCCAGAAACAGCAAGAAAGCCAATAGGAAATAAGAGTGGAAAGGTTGGCAGGGTTCAGATATTACAGGTATTAGAGTAGCCCCAGAGAGAGATGATGATGGAGGGTAGTGAGAAATGATTGGATTACATATAGTTTGGGCAGTGGGGAAAGGATGAGTATATTATTCAGGGTAGAGCAGATAGGACTTACTGATGGATTGTATATGGGAGTAGCGGATAGGGGAAAGAAAGACGCCTGTGTTTGGGGTCGGGTTCTGACACATTATGTCTAGCACAGTGGTTTATAGTGGGAGCTTGAAAGATGTTTATACTTTAATGAAGACCAGTACCCAATCTCTAGGAGCTCATATAGAAAAAAATTAACTAAGCTAGCCTTAGAAGGCTTGTTGGCTTTTATGGAGTAACCAGGGGTTGCAGGCCTATGGAACACAGATGGGTCATAGTTTTTATCTGATGGGAAGTAATCTGTTCTTTCCTCTAGAGGGCCAGTCCTCTCATGGCGTTAACTTCACAGTCTAGGGCAAGGGAATGGGCCTGGGCTCTAGCCATCTGGTTGTAGGCATCTGCGAATGAAACAGAGAGTAATACAGAAGGCTTTGCTCACCCTTCTCTTCCCTGGGCCTTACGGTGCTGTGATCTTCCCTGGACTTCTCTGACAACAGTGAGTTAGAGGATCAGATGGGACTATGTACATGGAGACTGCCTTAGTTAGACCTGTTTATGACTTAGTTTTCTTTTTCTAAAACCACCTTAAAGTATTTTTTATCCATAAAAGGCAAAAAGTAAAATATTAATTGCTTAGTGGAAAAAGAATAAAATAACATCAGACCAGAAGATACAATAATATAATACATAATTTACCAAATGAGTGATTTAGTAAGCGACTTTCTCAAAAATTTTCAGGGCCTATGCACTGCTTGCATATTAAAGTGTAACTTTC